AATGAGTGGTTCATGATAAAAAAATCGCCCTGTATATATATATATATATATGTTTTTTTGTTTTTTTTTCTTGACACTAAAAACTTAATTATAGTCTATAATAGTTGTTTGTTATATTTTATTGGTAATAAAATAATAATTCTCAATTAGCAGTTGTAAACCTTTAACTGTTTTTATTTTTTTTTTCACTTATTATAAATTATAATACAATGTCAAAATTAATGACGAACTAATATTTTATTATCTATTTACGTTAAAAATAACTATGTGTATGATATAAGAGTTGAGATGTTTATCATAGTTCATAGGTTCCTATATTATAATATTATAATTATTATGAACTGGGAATACAATTTATTTATTTTGTGTATCGTAGTCCGTTTATAAGTACAGTCATGCAATCCTTATAATAATACCAATGTATTTGTAATTAATATTTATGATTTATCAAAAAAATAAAAAAATAGAATTGATATTATATTAAACATATTATATACGGATTTTTTTTTTCTATATTTTGTCATGTTTAATCTACAGCGAATCTACGTTATGATTTCATTTTAAATCACAAAAAGTTTTCAGGAACCGGCATTTAATAACGTCTCGATCTTAATATAAAACTATGAAAGATGTAATATTATTAAATAGTTTAAATGTTTAATATTATATTACAATTACATAATATMAATTTTAGCTTTTCTATACTTAATACTTTAACCACTTTCCATAGCTGCTTCGAATTATCAAGCTAAAATTTGCAATGAAAAATAATATAGATTTTGTTCACCATTGAAAAATTTGAAAACATATTAATAAGTTAAAAGTTTACTCCTGTAAAAATATTCATCATGAATTTGGCGATTGCAGTCTATATGACCTTCGCAAATTTTTAAGTTATTACTTTAACCGCCGTCCTACCTAACTTCAATTACAGGTGATCATCAGGAGAAAGAGCTTGAAAGGACTTAGTTAGTGCTCATCGAGATGAGTTCTTAATCCCCACCCTTAAAAAGTGTGATGACTTTTTACTATTATTATTAAATTTGTATCGAATTTTTTTCTAAAAAAACACGCAAAATATCCAAAATGAAATTTTGTATTTGAATTGTTCGAATATAACGTCGGTACACTAACACGTATTTGTAAATACTTCTATCCTGTTACAATAATTTGCTACTCAAATACGGGTACGATGTTCGTACACTTACCGCATGATCGGAACTCTGCATGCTATATTATAATATACAGTTTGTCCTGCTAGGATTTACCCGTTGCGATATCTCCTGAGCAAATACATATATATTATCAWAAATCTGTTTTTTTTTTTTATTAGATCCACATAGAAAAGAGCTACATGAATTTTATTTTTAAATTTAATTACATTTTTGGTAAAAAGTTAAAACAAATTTATTTTTATTTTTTAATATTTGAAAAAAATAAAGATACCTTTTTATAGAGTTTGTTTTCCTGAAAACGTTGACATTTCAACATTTAATTTTCATTGATATCATGATTTTTAATATTTTTTTTAAATTTATAGATAATTTATCTAAGATAAAACGGCAATAAACTAGTTTTGTCCGGGCGGCGACTGGCAAGTCACCCTCTACCAGTAATGGGTATATTCTTACGGACACTCTGTATATTATCATATATAAATTCACACAGCACTCAGTAATATTTTATTAAATTATGATTGATCCCATTTCATACGTCTCTAGTCTCTTCTATATAACTCGCCCCACGTATGATAATTATATTATAATATTATTATTATGTAATACTCTAGCTCAAATGATGATTATTGATTAAAAAAAAAAGATAAAAACGCATTCAATACCACGCTGGACCCTTTGAAATACATTTGCTAATAATATTATACAAGTTGAGTAAAAAAAAAATACCACAACTCCGAAAATTCATATCGCTACAACTGTGAATATAATATATTAATTAATTGTAGAACGCTACCTACTATGTAGGGTGTAACAGGTCTATTTGACTAGGCATAGCCGTTTTCGACCAAAAACGTACCCTTCCCTTTTCGGTCCATTCACTTTTCGACCAAATTTAAAAAAGACTGATTCCCTTTACGACCAAATACAAAATTATATAATTATGTAATTTTGACAAATTATTAAAAGTATAAGTTGGTACTGAATAGTACCAAGAAATTTGAATTCGATTTGAAAAACCTTCAAAATTTAAATAAATGAAATAATAGGGATAATTTTTAGTGTGTGTATAAAATTAATATCGTTTTGTAAATAATTTTGTCGCGAATTTTATTTTTACGAGTATTTTTATTTAACAACATTATATGCAACTTTTAAAAAACTATATTATGTAGCAGCAATTATTTTATTTTTTTTGCATATATTATATAAATTTTTGTTTTGGCCGAAAAGTGAATCAGTCTTTTTTAAAGAAAAGTGAATTGGCTGAAAAGGGAAAGGTACGATATTGGTCGAAAAGAGGAAAAGGGTAATAAAAAGATAATTTTATGTTCTATATCCGTAGGTAAACATTTTGTGGAGCTGGAAGCCAAGCTCATCATCGCCATGTTGGTATCCCGGTACGAAATGCTTGTGGACAGCTCTAAGCCCGGTACGTCACCAGACCCGTTGGACCCCAGATCGTTTGAGGGCGTCCGGATGACGGTGACCAATCGGAGCGGCGTCCTAGAGTCTACGATGTGTGCTTCTCTGCGTCAGTTTCAAATGAGCAAAGAAGAGAATGCTGGCGACCGGAAATTCCTGTTTTTCTGAACGCGTCGTTGCGTCGTGATATGATGAGCGGTCCTATGTATTATTATTATTATGTCTGTGTCGTGGACTATTGTTGTAATAATAATATAATTTTAATTTGAAAATGGCATTACCTACCATAGACTTTTTTATAATTTTAATCTGTGAGATTCCACTATGCAATATATTTTACAGTAAATATACCTGTCGTGAAATATAAGTTCTTAATACAATGTTGATTTTTTTTCATCCACCAAGATTTTAAAAATAAAACTAAAAAATATTATAGTTTAGTTCCTCAAAAAAGTATACGGTTAAAAAACGAAAAAAGAAATAAAATTTTGAATTACTGTTTGTTTTTTTTATAAAATAAATTTACAATTTATATACAAGTAAATGTGATGATATACTGACAATATGTGAACACGTTAGGGAAAGGAGTGTCCAGTTTTATAAGAACAAAATGTAGTGAGCGTGTTTGGGCGTATCTCTCTGTATATATTTATATAAGCTAAATTATTTATAAGAAATAGTTTTGAATATTTTATGTTCGTGAACCTTTAGGAGTCATAACTTCTCATAAAAGTCAGTCGAGTAAATGGTAATATGACAGCTTTGTGTTGGTTGGTGTAAAAATAAGAAAGTTGTGACATGTATATATGATTGAATAATTCTTAAATTTTGATTTAGGAGTTATTTTTAGCTCTTGTTTAAGAGACAGTTCTGTCAACACTTGGGGCCAACCGTGGGATATCATTGTAGTTTTGACGTGCATAACTTACAGCGATATCGCAATGGACTATTCCTTTGTAAGATTTTTAGATTTCAATTAGATTCCTCGAAGATTATAGGTGAGAGGCAAATATTGTAAAGAAATTMTAACAACAATTTTTAATAAATTTTGAATTTCAGATAATTACAAAATTTATAACAAATAATATATTAAATAAGGTATTCAATTGATTTTAAATGTATACATTTAAATATATATTTATATATATATATATATCACAAACATAAATTAAGTATGAAGTAGTAAATTTGTGTAACACATTTATTTTTATAAACAATTTTATTTATTAAAATGTAAAAATTAAAATAAATGTTCTATTCATAATGTGTTATTTACTGATCTGATGACGTTTAGTTGAACTGTTGAATACTTATAATATAATTATTATTGTTATTAGCTAGTGTTAGTAGTATTAATATTATTTTGCAAACAATAGAGTCTGCCAGTATGACATTGTCGCTTTCCTATTTGCATGAAAATGCATTAATCTMACCGCGTTCATTATTATACCTTTGTAATATTATTAGATACTAATCAGTCGCACGGTCGTAGGTCTTATATCTTCTAACTCCGTATTTAGTAACGTCTTGTTGTAACTAAATTATTATTATTTTATCTTGAAATAGTCAGTACATTTATCATAATACCCATCATCTCTCTAAGCTGATCCATKGTAGGKAGTTATTTAATTATAACACCATGTTCAATTATTGTGCACGATTAGACTTCAATACAAATAATAGTATATAATATAGTAATAATAGGTACAATTTTGCTAATTCTACACCGTTTGTTATTTATAACATTTTTGTACATTACAGTCGTGCTAGGTACTTGGAATTGAATAMGTATTGCTTAATTTTATAAAAACAAAAAATTCTTTAGGTATGCCATTAAAATAAGAGAGTTAGATACTGCAGGTTAAAAAATTCACGTTCCGCATGTAATACGCCATATTATATTTGCCGATAATTAATCATTAGCAATACCTATTTTAATGACATAAGGTAGATAATATAATATTATACACTTTTTTTTTATCTACATATACATTATAATATTGTTTTACACTTTTACCTATCAAAAAAACTGTGCACGCGATACAGTCTAAAACAGAGAAACATTATAATATACATTAACCTCTCGTTTTTCGATTGCRCGGTCGAGATAATTAGGTCTTTTCACACGAATGCATGWRGCCCAAAACACTTACATCTGTATTCGTAATGGTTATTTTATCATTATAATAATAATATTTAAAAATATAAATGTATTGAATTAGTATAATATAATAATATGATAAAAATGTTGGTATGATATTTTTATTCATTTTAACTATTCATCATTATTTCTTATAAATATGAGTTTAAACTACTCATGCAAATATAGGTACATCGTAATAATATGTGAAAGTTAATAAGTTTAATAACGATTTAAATGAAAATCCTTGTAGTATTAAAACATAAGCTTATTTTATCAAATACTTTATTTATCCAATTTTATTTTATTCCTTGATAATTATTTTTATTGGATATGGTATGTATAGTGTAGTATTTTTCATCATAAAATATTTTGAATACAAAAAAAAAAGGTTATTCTGAATTCTGATACTCGAATAAGTTCGAGAAGAATTCCAACGGACAAAATACACATTTTGCTGTAATTATTGTTTCAGTGTTTCTACCGTAATCATTACAATAGTTCAGTGATTGCATTTTTAAAAAAACAATATTTATGCGAAAGGTGATTAAAGGTTTTAAAAATGTTTTCTACGTATTTTCTACAATTTYCAATACATACCCACCGTTCTTAGTTTAAATTAAAAATTAAAAATACTTAGAAACAAAAATATGGTAAAACTTTTTATGATATTTTATTAAAATTSATGTTAAAAAAGAATTTTAAGTTTGAAATGTGCATAGTGTTACAATACATTTGTTATAATTTTACTAAATGTTAGCATACTTACACATTAAATGTAAGTCAATAAACCATATTATAGAAACAGGGATGACCAACATGAATATGTACACGAGCCATATGGATAAATACAATGATATCAAGAGCCAAAATGTTTATAAATACATTTTATATTTTTTATAATTGCATTGTATTTTATCGTTAGTAAGAAAATATACTTTTTTTTTTAATATAAGACACGAGCCGCAAGTTGGCCACTCCTGATATATAACCATCATAAAAGTAGGCCCCTCTATATCATACACCTATGATGTCCATTAAGTGGTCTTGTAACCATCGTATTTTTAGTCAAAAAATACTTATTTTTGTTAATATTCTTTCTATAAATTATTTCTAACAGTTTACTGTCAATAAAACATGTGCAATGTGCATACAAGAGAATGAATGAAAATTATTTTTCATCCTTTGAATTATCATAAATAAAATTAAAAAAATATTATATGTAATTTTTTTTTGATTATTATTATTCATATTGAATTAAAATAGTTTAAATAATAATAATTTTGTTTGAATACCGTTTTCAAACGTAATTAGGTAATTATTGGAATATGTTTAGATTAGCCATCACTGTTAAAATTAAAACTATTTTTCTATACAGAATATTAAGTGAATAATTGACAAGATTTTAGATTATAATAACATGATATTGATTAATTAATTAATTATATTAGATACCTACACGACAACAATGACACGTGATATTATACAATTATTATAATGATAATAATAATGTATAAATAACGTTTTATTTTGTATGATTGTTATGATAAAATCAAAAAATTACTACATCATTATCTTAGAACAACACACACAAATAATACGAGTGTTGGTATAATTAATATCATGATATAAAAAAAAATAAATTATTAGTTTTTTTTTTTTAGGTGCCCACTCGATACCTATAGACACGTTCGGCAGGTTATAGAATATTTTGAAATTATTATTTGCGATTATTACAGTAAATCTCGTTACGATTTGTTGATATATGATTTGATGAAGAGGAGTAGGTAAGTCAACAAATAGAAAACCTTCTGAAATCACGGTAACTAACTATAGACTACATGTAAAGCATTATTTGACTTGAATCTATATTATTACAATATAGGTATATGGCAGTTTTGATAAGGGTATATTTCCGTTTGACATGGTAATAATTTATCAACGAAACGGTTGGCGTTTGAACGTCACTCGTCATAACACTCAAGTTATCAAATTATTGTCTTCGGATGGTTTTACCATTTTTTTCTTTGTATATACATAACTATAAAAAGTTCGCCTAACTATCTGATGGCTTCATGACATCCCAAATATAGTTTCTCAAAACGTGCGAACTCTTGAAACAATATGAAAATTAATTTAAACTTAAGAGTTTAATATAAATAGGTGCATGATTATTCAATTAGTATTCTAAAAATATAATTTATTAAGTCCATAAAGCTTCAATCAATATTATTAAACTGTTTTCAACTTAATTAGTTGAAAACATTATATAAAATAAACTATATTAATTATAAATTATAATATTATTATGTAGGTGTATATAGTACTTGAATATTGTTATATTTTATGGTAATAGCATTTTGTCTTAAACAGTCACAAATAATGTATCCAATTATAACTAAAAAAAGTTTTTGTAATTAATTATTTTTATATAATACTTTATATTTATGTTTGCGTTTTATACAGAGCACATTAATTAATAAGCAATGTGACAAATAATAATTTACTACCTATTAATTAATACTTTAATCAATAACTTAATATTTCTACTCATAAACTATATAATAAAATAATAGGTATTACATTACGATTTACGAGTATTACGCATACCAAATACGTATAAGTAATATGAAATTAAAAATTAAACGTTTGACTATCACAAAATTTAGAATTTTAAAATTTCCGCATTAAACCTTACACAATATTTAAACTGATGAATAATACCCTAAAGTTTGAAACTTTATAAAAAATGTATTATGTTAGTGTTTCGTAAGGAAAATATTGAATGTATTTCCATAAGTTACAAAATAACACTCAACATAGTATGTTATCAGAATATTATATGACTTAAGGAAATATTTTAACCTAATTATAAAATTATAAACTTATTGTATAGTTATTTTTAGATTATTTTTTCTATTTTTATTTTCATTTTTTTTTATCATTAAAGCAATGAATTATTATTAATTTGGAATCACAGAAACGTTAAACATGCTTACATTTAGTCTAATGGCTATTTCATTATATGTAATTTATAATTAATTTAATTTATAAAAATATTATTTCAAAAATAATGTGTTTTTCCACTAGACTGTCTAGTAATTAAAACAAAAATGTGTAATAGTTTTAACAGATT